CAATTTAGGAGTACAAAAGTTAAAAGAGCAAGTCCCATAAAAATATTTGCAATGTAATTCTATTTACATGTATATTTAAGACCTGTACATGTGTGTATGTACATACTGTGTATGTATGTATATGTGTAGACAGATAAATCAAAAGACAGATGGCATAGCTGGCTATATGGTTATGTTGTCTGACATTCAGTAGGCCCCTTCAGTGTGAAGTTTTATAGCACAAAATTATTTTTTATATTATTTCTAGCAATCTATTTACACTTTTATTTCCTACTATGCAGATATTAGATCCCCTGAATATGTCCTTGATGTTTCTTCTTTTTATTCACACTATTACAGATGTCCCCAGTTTCTCCCTCTTTGCCCCCCTCCATCCAGCCCCCACGTCCCAAGCCTTCACCACATCGTCTGGGTCCACAGGCTGTGCATATATGCATGTATGTTCTTTGGCTAATCTCTCCCAACCCCCCCCAGGATCTGTCAGTCTGTTCCATGTATCCATGCCTCTGATTTCATTTTGTTCTTCAGTTTATTTTGTACATTAGAGTCCACATATCAATGAGATCATATGCTATTTGTCCTTCTCTGACTGGCTCATCTTGTTTAGCATAATAATCTCCAGGTCCATTCATGTTGTCACAAAGGGTAAGAGTTCCTCTTTTTACAGTTGCATATGATTCCACTGTGTAAATGTACCACAGCTTTGTTATCCACTCATCTACTGATGGGCACTTGGGCTGTTTCCAAATCCGGGCTATTATAAATAATGCTGTTGTGAACATAGAGCTGTATAATTTCTTTCTGATTGATGTTTCAGGATTCTTAAGATATATTCCCAGAAGTGGGGCCACTGGGTCAAAGGGCGGTTCCATTTTTAGTTTTTGGAGGAAACTCCATACTGTTTCCCCAGTGGAAACACCAGTCTGCACTCTCACCAGCTGTGCACTAAGGTTCCCTTTTCTCCACATCCTCACCAGCACTTGTCTGTTGATTCATTGATGATAGCCATTCTGGCAGACATGAGACGAGGGGTTAATTTCCAAAATATATGAAGAACTTATACAGTTGTGTAAGTCCCTCTCAACACTGCTTTAGCTGCATCCCCCATGCCCACAAATCTTAATGTTATATTTTCATTTACATTTATTTCAATATATTTTTATTTTTCTTGAGACTTAGTCTTTGACTCATGGATTTTTTAGTGTGTTGTTTCATTTCTAAGTGCTTCAGTATTTCCCTGTTATCTTTTTGTTATTGATTTCTAGTTTGTTTCCATTATGATCAAAATGTCCCTTGTAGCATAAATTATTACAAATTTGTTAAGAGTTGTTCTATGACCTAAGAAATTGTCAATCTTGGTGAATGTTTCACATATGCTTGAGAAAGATCTGTATTCTGATATTATTAAGTAGAGTGTTCGAAGTCAGTGGTCCTCAAACTTTTTGAGGAGCACGAAGTTTCGTGGAACACAATTTTTCCATGGACAGGAGGGTGGTGGGGTAGAGCTTGGGCAGTAATGTGAGCAAAGCTTTGCTCATTTGCCTGCCCTTCACCTCCTACTGTGTGTTCCAGTTCCTAACAGGCCATGGACCAGTACCAGTCTGTAGTCCAGAGGCTGGGAAACCCTGTTCTAAGTATCTCAATTAGATTTTGAAGGTTAATGTCATCCTGAGTTTTTCCCTCTCCCTGATGACTTTTGCCTAGTCGTTATATCAATTACTGGGGGCTATAAACCCCAAGTATAACAGCTGATTTCTCTAACTTTTTAATTCAGTCCTTTCAGGTTTTACTTCAGTTATTTTTGCAGGTCTGTTTTTGATGCATATATGTTGAAAATTTCAATGTCTTTCTTAAATATAAGACTCAAAAACCACAAAAATCCTACAAAACATAGGCAGTAACATCTCAAACATTTCTTGTGGCAATATATTTCTGATATATCTCCTTGGGCAAGGGAAACAAAAGAAAAAAACCAAATGGGACTACATCAAACTAAAAAGTTGCACAGCAAAGGAAATCACCAACAAAACAAAAAAATAACCTACTGAATGGGAAAATATATTCACTAATAATACATCCAATAGGAATTAATATCCAAAATTTATAAAGAACTCATACAGCTCAACACCAAAAAGACAAACAATCCAATTTAAAAATGGACAGAGGACCTGAACAGACACTTCTCCAAAGAGGACATACAGATGGCAAATAGACAAATAATAAGATGCTTACTGTCACTAACAATCAGAAAAATGCAAATTAAAACCACAATGAGATATCACCTCACACCTATCAGAATGCTACTATCAATAAATCAATAAGCAAGTGTTGGCAAGAATGTAGAGAAAAGGGAACTCCTGTGTGCTGTTGGTGGAAAGGCAGATTGGTTCAGTCAGTATGGAAAACAGTATGGAGTTTCCTCAAGAAACAGAAATGGAACTGCCTTATAACATAGCACATCCACTTAGGGATTTATTAAAAAACAAACCAAGACAGTAATTCCAAAAGAATATAAGCACCCCTATGTTTATTGCAGCATTTCTTACAACAGCCAAGACATGGAAGCAACCCAAGTGTTCATCAATAAAAGTGTGGATTTAAAAAAAAGCAGTGGTACATATCTACAGTGGAATATTACTCGGCCATGAAAAAGAATGGAATCTTACCATCTAGGACAGCATGGGTGGACCTAGAGGTTACTATGCTAAGTGAGAAGGTCAGAGAGAGAGAGAGAGACAAATACCACATGACTTCACGTATATGTGGGATCTAAAGAGCAAAGTAAGTAAACAAAATTGAAACAGACTCATAGATCCCGAGAACAGACTGACAGATGCCAGAGGGTACGGGGGTTAATGAACTGTTTGAAGAGATTAAAAAGTTCAAACTGGCACAAAACAGTTCCAGGGATGTCAAGTATAGCATCAAAATATAGTCAATAATATTATAATAACTATGCATGATGCCAGGTGGGCACTGGAAATATCAGAGGAATACTTTGTAAAGTATATAACTTTATAACCTATGCTATACACCTGAAACTAATACAAAGTAATATTAAATGTAAACTATTTAATATGTAAAACTATTTAAATGTAAACTATTAAATATTTAAACTATTTAAAAATAAAATTTAAATTTAAAAAAAGTCAAAAACTAAAAATCTAAATGGAGTAACTAAAAGAAATAGATTGCTACGTCTTCCCAGTAAATTGACCTTTTTATCATTTTGTAAAGTCCTTTTGTCTGGTAGTTTTCTTTACTCTGACACAATAACAGTACAGTTACAGTGGCATAATGTAATTTATTTATTTGTGTTTGTATTTAAGGAAGAAATAATTCATAATTGGTGAATATATGGTAATACAGTCATTCCTTTGTTACTGATTAGTGTTTGCATGGTCTTTTTCTATCTTTAACCTCCCTGTCTCATCAGTCACATATGAAGTGAGTTTATTATGGATAGCACATAGTTCTTTTATATCTGTCAATTCTGCCAATTCCTATCTTTTAATTATTTGTATGTTAGGAGTTAAGTCTGCCATCCCAGTACTTGTTGTTTGTTCCCTTTGTTTTACCTTCCTGTTCCCCTTTCTTATTTTCTTATAGGTTACTTGCATTATTAGTATTCCATTTGATTTATTTACGAAGTTTCTATTATATTGCTTTGTGTGATATTTTCGTGAGTGCTCTAGGATTGCAGTACACAAACATACTTACTACAGTCTACTGGTACCAACATTTTACCACTTACAGTGAAATGCAGATACCTAACACAATCTATGATCCCTTTCCTTCCCTACTTCAGTCTCCTACAGTATAACCTATGCTTTATATACATTGAGAACATCCATATACACTGAGAACCATAACAGTGTTATCATTTTTAATGTATACCATCCAACACAATTTTAAAAACTGAAGAGAATTCATTTACCCCCGCCACTACTTTCTTCATTCCTAATGTCCCAAGTGTCCCATTAAGCTGTATCTGATGAACTTCCTTGATAGGCATTATTTTAGAACCAATCTACTGGCAATAAAACTTCTTAGCTTTTCTTCTTCTAAAACTGTGTTTATTTTTTCCTTCATTCCTAAAGTATAATTTTTCCCGTACACACAACTCTGGGTTGACATCAATTGTTTTTCTTTCAGCAGCTGAAAATGTTGGGTTACTTCCTTCTGTCTTTCATAGCCTCTGATGAGAAATCTGCTGCCATTCAAATGGGCGTTTCCCTAAAGATACCATGTAGTTACTTTTGAAGATTTTTTCCTTTGGCTTTAATTTTCAGTTTAACTACAATGTTTCTAAGCATGGATTTCATTAGGTTTATCCTGTTTTAAGTTCACTAAGCTCTGTAGGGTTATGTCTTTTGGCAAATTTGGAAAGATTTAAACCATTATTTCTTCAAACATTTTTTACCTCCATATTCCATCCTTTCTTTTCTTTTCTTTTCCTAGTAATTTAAAGATTTTGTTTATTTATTTTTAGAGAGAGGGGAAGGGAGGGAGAAAGAGAGGGAAAGAAACGTCAATGTGTGGTTGCCTTTCATGTGCCCCCAACTAGGGACCTGGCCCACAACCCAGGCATGCACCCTGACTGGGAATCGAACCCATGACCCTTTGGTTCACAGGCTGGCACTAGATCCATTGAGCCATCCCAGCCAGGGCCACATTCTATCCTTTCCATCTAGTACTAATGCCTCACTGTTAGATCTTCTATTATTGTCCCACAGGTGTCTGAGGCTAAGTTCACTTTTTTAATTTACTTTCTGTCCATTATTCAGATTGGATGATTTCTATTGATCCATCTCTAAGTTCACTAATTCATCTGTCCTTTCCATTCTGCTATTGAGCCTAGCCAGTAAATTTAAAATTTTGGTTACTGTATTTTTTAGTTGTAAAACTTTCATTTGAGCTCTTTCCATCCCCAGCTGCCACAGCTGCCATTGTAGGTGGGCAGACATAGCCACAGCTCCTCATACAGTGGAGCTGTGACTATGTCTGCCCACCTACAATGGACGGTCATACAAAACTGCTCCAGGTTCCTGATCAAGAGTAACAGGCAGGCGTACAGCCCCAAACCCAATAATCTGAAGGTCCACAACTCCTTTTGCTACAACAGGCTGATTCACCACAAGATGGTGAGAATGGAGCCGGCAGCCAGTGGCAAAGATGTGTGGTGGTTGTCGTGAAGCAGAGATCTGGCCAGCAAATGCTGGCCACCTCCTACGTGTGGACCATCATCAACAAGAACACCCCGGCCACTATGAGCACTATCCAGCATATCACCCACAAGAACAAGTGCCTCTTGGACCTGTGCGCCGGCACAGTCAGCACCATTCCTGCAAAGCCCACCCCACCAAAAGCTCCTGAGCATCCCCTTCCCCCAAAGCAATAAAGGTATCAGCCAAAAAAAATATTCCTCAAAAAGTATTTTTAGGACTTCCGCCAAGATGGAGGTTTAAGGTGGATGTGCCTGCCTCCTCACACAACCAAGTTTAGGGACAACTAAATATTAGCATCAGAAAACACAACCAGAACACGGAAAACTGAACTTTTCGGAAGTCTGCTAACAACAAATTCTTCGGCCCGACCGGTAAGGGGCGAAACCGGCATCGGGTGAGGAATTACAAAGGAGTCGACCCGGGCGCGGAATCCAGACGCGCGAATCCAGTCGCACGGGTTCCAAACCCAGGATTGGACCTAGTGAGCTACCGAGCGGCCCACCGGGTGAGCGACTACGGAGGAGTCAGTGGGGAGGCGGTGGCAGCGAGTTGACTGAGGTTGCCTGGTTGCACGCGGGTGAGGGAGTGAGCGCTTGGACCGGCGGCGGCGGCGGCAGCGCCATTTCCCGCTCTGACCACGCCCCCACATACAGCGTCACAACCCAGCGACCTGGGAATCCAAGGCGCCGCTCCTCCCACTTAAAGGGCCAGAACAGACCAAAAATGTCGCAGGAAGACCTCAAAGCCCCACAGATAAATCTAAGTGACGAAGAAATAGCAAATCTCTCAGACGCACAGTTTAAAACACTGGTCATCAGCTTCCTCACAGATCTGGTGGACTATAGCCACAAATTAGAGAAACATATGAAGGCTAAATTAAGGGAAATGAATGGAATTCCACAGGAAAACCATAGAGATGAAAAAAAAACTGGGACTCAAATCAATGGAGTGGACCAGAAGGAAGAAGAAAAAAAATCAACAAACAGAAAGGAATGAAGAAATAAGAATTCAGAAAAATGAGGAGAAGCTTAGGAACCTCCAGGACATCTATAAACGCTCCAATATCCGAATTATAGGGGTACCAGAAGGGGGAAAGACACAACCACCAGTGGAAAAACTATTTGAACAAATAATAAAAGAAAATTTCCCCAATCTGGCAAAGGAAATAGACTTCCAAGAAATCCAAGAAGCTCAGAGAGTACCAAAAAAGTTGGACTCAAGAAGAAACACACCAAGGCACATCGTAATTACATTAGCCAAAATTAAAATGAAGGAAAGAATCCTGGAAGCAGCAAGAGGTAAGGGGACAATCACCTACAAAGGAGTCCCCATCAGGCTGTCAGCAGATTTCTCAAAAGAGACCTTACAGGCAAGAAGGGGCTGGAAAGAAATATTCCAAGTCATGAAATCTAAAGACCTACAACCAAGATTGCTCTACCCAGCAAAACTTTCATTTAGAACGGAAGGACAGATAAGGTGCTTCTCAGATAAGACCAAATTCAAGGAGTTCATCATCACCAAGCCCTTATTATATGAAATGTTAAAGGGACTTATCTAAGAAAAAGAAGTTAAAGAAACATGAACAGTGAAAGGACAACAAACTCAAGTTATTAACAACCACACCTAAAACGAAAGCAAACTAAAAGGACAGCTAGATCAGGAGTGGAAACATAGAAATGAAGATCTCAAGGAGGGTTAGCAACAGGGGAGTGGGAGGAGGAGACGGGGGGGGGGGGGGGGAGAAGGTACAGAAAACAAGTAGCATAGACAGTAGATAGAAAATAGATGGGGGGGGCAAGAATAGTATGGGAAATATAGAACCTAAAGGACTTGAGACACATGGACATAAACTAAAGGGGGGTAATGGTGGGGTTGGGGGGGCAGGGTGGAGGGGAATGAAGGGGGGAATAGAACAACTGTAACAGCATAATTAATTCAAAAAAATAAAAAATTTTAAAAAAAGTATTTTTAAATAAAAAAATAAATATAATTTTTAGTTCATCTTTATATTCTCTACTTTTCTGCTGTGGCTTTGTGCTTCCTTTTGTTTCAAGAGTTTTTGTAATTATTCATTGGAGCACTTTTATAAAAGCTAATTTCAACTTCTTGCTGATGATTTCAATATCTATGTCACTTCTAAGCTGGCATCTGTTGATTATCTTTTCTCATGAGATTTAAGATTTTCCTGATTTTTCATATGACAAATATTTTAGGGATCTATGCTGGACATTTTAAATATTATACTTTGACACTCTGGTTCCTATTTAAATCTTCTAGTTTAGCATGTGGTCAACCTGTTTAGATTCATAATGCAATAATACCAGGCTCCTTTTTGTGGGCTTTGATTCAAATGTCGATTTAGTTTATACTGTCTCCCTCTGGTGCTCTTCGGGTTTTGCCCATTTGTGTGTTACCTAGATGACGGAACTCCACTCTGCTTTCAATCTTCAGTATGTGCTTAGGTAAGAAGAAGCACCGCCTCAGCTCAGCAGGGCAAGGACGGGAAAGAGGGTTCTGTCTATAGGATGTAATAGAGAGGAACACTGCCTCATAAATGGTGGGGGGCGGGGAGAGGCGGGGGGGGGGGCAGTGAAAGTCAAGAGTCTCCTCCACAGGATCAGCTGCAGAGGGCACCACCTTTTCACTATACTACAAGGGAATGAAAATCAAGAGTTCCAACCACAGGCTCCTTTGCGGAGGGATGCTTTTCCTTACTTCAAAGTAACGGAGACTAATCAAGGTTTTGTTCACAGAACTCTGTGAAGTAAGGGCAACACCTTGTTAACGGTGAACAGCTGTGAAAGCCAGCATCCGGGACTTCCACCAAGATGGAGAAGCAGGTGGAGGGTCCACCTTGCCTCTGTGCACAACCAAATCTAAGAACAACTATTTTTAACAGCAGTCACAACCAAGCCACACGGAAAATCGACAATACGGAGTCCAAAGGACTAGATACTCGGCTAGACCGGTACGAGGAGCGAGGCCAGCAGCGGAGCAGGTTAGCAAGAAAAAATTCCCGGGGCGGAGCGCGGAGCGCGCAGGCAACCGAGGGCGCTGATCGCCAGTGAGCTGGCTGCCAGAGCGCACACGGAAGAGGCGCGGAGGGTCGGTCGGTCGCGCGCATTTACGTGCGGAGAAACCAGTGAGAAGGGAAACCCGCACGGTGCAGCAGGCTCGCAAAATTAGGATCGGATAAGCAAGCCCGAGGCGTTTGAGTGTCTGGTTGCGCTGGGCTAGCGGAGAGGAACGCCATTGCTCCCTCTCTGACCCCGCCCCCACACACGGCGTCACAAACCAGCGACCTGGGTCGCCCCGTCCTGGTAAACAACTAAGGCTTCGCTCCGCTCACTTAACAGCACGAATAAACCAAAAATGGCTCTAGAACAACTCAGAGCCCCAGAACCGATAGACCTAAGTGATGAAGAAATAGCCAGTCTTTCAGATGCACAGTTCAAAACACTGGTTATAAAGATCCTTACAGAACTGGTGGATTTTAGTCACAAATTAGAGAAACATATGGAAGCTAAATTAATTGAAATGAATGCTGATACAAAAGATACCAATAGTAATGGAAAGAAAATTGGGACTCAAATCAAGAGAGAGAACCAGACGGAAGAAAAAAATGATCAAACAGAAAGGAATGAAGAAATAAGAATTCAGAAAAATGAGGAGAAGCTTAGGAACCTCCAGGACATCTTTAAACGTTCCAACATCCGAATTATAGGGGTACCAGAAGGGGGAAAGGCACAACCACCAGTTGAAAACTTATTTGAACAAATAATAAAGGAGAATTTCCCCAAGCTGGCAAAGGAAATAGACTTCCGAGAAATCCAGGAAGCTCAGAGAGTCCCAAAGAAGTTGGACCCAAGAAGGAACACACCAAGGCACATCATAATTACATTAGCCAAGATTAAAATGAAGGAGAGAATCCTAGAAGCAGCAAGAGCTAAGGGGACAGTCACCTACAAAGGAGTTCCCATCAGACTGTCAGCTGATTTCTCAAAAGAGACCTTACAGGCAAGAAGGGGCTGGACAGAGGTATTCCAAGTCATGAAAACCAAAGATCTACAACCAAGATTGCTCTACCCAGCAAAACTTTCATTTAGAATGGAAGGACAGATAAAGTGCTTCTCAGATAAGACCAAATTCAAGGAGTTCATCATCACCAAGCCCTTACCATATGAAATGTTAAAGGGACTTACCTAAGAAAAAGAAGATAAAAAAGATGAACAGTGAAAGGACAGCAAACTCACAGTTATTAAGAACCACACTTAAAACAAAAGCAAACTAAGAGGATAGCTAGATCAGGAGCAGAACCATAGAAATGAAGATCACATGGAGGGTTAGCAACAGGGGAGTGGGAGGAGGGGAAGGGGGAGAAGGTACAGAAAATAAGTAGTATAGACAGTAGATAGAAAATAGATAGGGGGGAGGGTAAGAATAGTAGGGGAAATACAGAATCTAAAGAATTTGAGACACGTGTTCATGAACTAAAGGGGGAAATGGTGGGGGAGGGGTATGCAGGGTGGAGGGGAAGGGAGGGGGGGAATAGAGCAAATGTAATGGCATAATCAATTTAAATAAATAAATAAATAAATAAATTCAATTTAAAGAGTAAAAAAAAAAGCCAGCATCCTATCCACAGGCTCTGCTGGGGAGAGGTGCCACCCTGTAATTGCTGGTGAGAGAGAATTCAGAGTCCTCCCTACAGGCTCCAGGGAGAAGGGGCATTGCTTCATTACTGTAAGGAGACGGGTAGAAGTCAGAGGTCAGCCCAGAGGATCCACTGGAGAAGCAAATCTTGGTGCTGACGTGAGGAAAAGGGTGTATGTGTTCAGAGCTCTGGCCACAGATTCTGCTGCACCTGTTGGGGTGGAGGGGAGCATGCAGCTTTTACTGGGATGTTTTTTCCTAGAGAGCAGGCAGGATAGGTTAAAAAGTTCCTCTCTTACTGGGCCATCCTTTGGCTAGAGAGAACAGGTTTTCCTTGGTGCTATTTTCAGTTTGCATTCATCAGCATTTCCAGGTTGTGGGCCTCTCTAGAGCCCAGGCCAGGATATATGAAGGCAAGAAAAAAAAATAATAATCAGGGAATTTAATGCTTGAGTTCCAAGATCTCTAGTCAGTGTACTTCCTTTTCCCTAACTTTCAGAGTTTTATGCTAGATGACTTATAGGTTCTGTTCAGGATTTTTTATGTGACTAGGAGTAATATCTAATGAGTTTACTAGATCTTGTTCAGAACCCAAAACCTGTCACTTATTTTTGGTCTAGATTTTATGTATCCTACTACTGTCTAAGTTTCCAGAGGATATAAACTGCGTTTTTATTAATCTTTTTATTAATTGTTGGCCTAGCCAAAAGTGTCATATATGACGTATCTTTTACATTTAGTAGCTGTAACAAACTATTGATAGAACTTCTTGGCCTTTACCTATCATTAGGTTCACAATATAACTCTCAAGTTTGTTCATTTATTCAGTAAACACCTGCTTTATGAAAGCTCTGTGGGTACAGCAGTGAGTAAGACAGCTAAAATCCCCGGTCTTATCGACCTTACATTTACCAACTGAGACAGGATAGGGAGAGACTGCAGGCATATGAATAATGTGATCTCTTCAGGATAATGAAAACTCAGTCTGCTGTGCTTAGTTAATACTAAGAATATACACTTGAAAAACTGGAAATAGTCAAAAACCTAAAAATTTTGCTACTGGCATAGGCAAGGTAATTTTTTTACCTGGTACGATGGAACTTTAATGATCTAATAAACTAGCTGTCAACTACTTACCACATAGAGTTGCTTCCACAGACTGGCCCATTCTTGTAGAGTTGCTGTAACCTCAGTCACAATAGAATCTTCAAGCGGAACAACAGTTTCATACTGCCTAGAATCATAACAAACAGCCACATTATCTCTGATAAATAACCATAATCCTGTCCACTGCCGTTTTCGACATGTGTAACTCAAATGTTAAATCCATGCAAACATAAAAAGAGGAACACCTCACTAACTGACGATCCCCTTTGCAGTAATACACTGCAACAGTGTAACTGAACTGAATTAGTACAGAAACATTTGGGGTTTGCTACAGCTATACCTATGTCTATGCTACATCTATATCTATCTCCTCAACTTTACTTTTAGAAAGACACACTGTCTTTAAGACAGACTTTATAAAAATACCATTTTAAGCTTTTGGCTTTTTTTAAGGAAAGATAATAGCAATGTCCAAGTCTTGCTTATATTGATTTTTTTAAATTATGTATTTTTGTCCTTTAACATTTATCAGTAATGCAAAATAGCTCATGTTTGGTATAAAACATGGAAATGGGGGGAGCGCTGGGTTTTGAGTAGCTTTATAAGCTCTACCTCATATTGGTGCCGTATTTTCTTAGAAACTAGTGTTAGTGGAGGAATTCTAGACCTGGTAGAGGAACTCCGACCCTGGAAACAGCTGTGCTGGGTTTCTCTCATCCTGCCTTGTAAGACTGTGGTACCAGTCCCTGTGCTAACTGCCCAAGGTTGATCAGTGAACAAGAATGGACTGGATCCCTATCTTCAGAGAAGTTTTGTTCAGATAGGGCAAGTCCAGATAAATAATCACAACAAACAGATGTGTATGGTGAAACTAAGAAGAAAATAAAAGTGTACAGAGATTTTACATGGAAGATATGATTTAAGAAGAGAGGATCAGTGAAGTCTCTGAAGAAGTGGCAAAGCCTAAAAGACACAAAATGATCACAACAGAAAAAGTGTATAGGGAGGGAGGGAATTGGGTATAGTGTCTACAAACAAAATAGCATACAAGAAGTCACTATGATAGAAAAGAATTTGATACATCAAAGAACTTAACTTTATTAACCAGAAACTTTCTAATAAAGTTTCTAATAATCTATTAGGTCTCCAGCTGCACACTTTAATAATTAAGATACCACACATTGATGTTTCTCTCTCTTTCCTTCTCCCTCCCTTCCCCTCTCTAAAAATAAAATCTTAAAAAAAAAAGATGTATGGAAACTTTACATTGTTTCTATTTTAAATTTTCAAGATTTTTCTACATACCTCAATCTATACTAACACAAGTCTAAACTAATACTGACTTATTTTTCTTAGGCTATAATACACCCTCAATATCCTGAAAATTCATTTTTTAGTTATATTTTAAATATAATAGCATATTGATTATGCTATTACAGTTGTCCCAACTTTTCCCCTGTGGCCCCCCTCCGCCCAGCACTGCCCACTCCCACAGGCAATCCCCACACCACTGCTCATGTCCATGGGTCATGCGTACATTCTCTGGCTGCTCATTTTCTATATTGTACTTTACATCCCCCCATGGCTATTCTGTGACTACCTATTTCTACTTCTTAATCCCCTCACCTCTTCACCCATACGCCCACACTCGCCTCCCATCTCAAAATCACCAAAACGCTCTCCATATCCATGACTCTGTCCTCTGTTGCTCTTGTTTGCTTAGTTTGATTTTCAGAGTCAATTGCTGACAGATATGTATTTATTGCCATTTTATTGCCCATAGTTTTGATCTTCTTCTTTTTCTTCAATAAGTCCCATTATTACATTTCATATAATAATGGTGTGGTGATGAACTCCTTTAGTTTTTTCTTTTCTGGGAATCTCTTTTATCTGCCCATCAGTTCTAAATGATAGTTTTGCTGGGCAGAGCAATTTTGGCTGTAGGTCCCTGCTTTTCATGACTTTGAATACTTCTTGCCAATCCCTTCTAGCCTGCAAAGTTTCCTTTGAGAAATTAGCTGACAGTCTTATGGGAACTTCCCCATAGGTAACTAACTGCTTTTCTCTTGCTGCTTTTAGGATTTTTTTCTTTCTGTTTACCTTTGGCATTTTAATTAAGATGTGTCTTAGAGTGGACTTCTTTACATCCATCTTGTTTGGGACTCTCTGTGCTTCCTGGAATTGCATGTCTATTTTCTTCACCAAATTAGGAACTTTTTCTTTCACTATTTTTTCAGATAGATTTCCAACTTCTTGCTCTTTCTCTTCTCTCTCTGGCACCCCTATGATGCAAATGTTGGAATGCTTAAAGTTGTCCCACAGGCTGCTTACACTATCCTCATTTTGGGGGGAATCTTTTTTCTTCTTGTTCTGACTGGTTGGTTTTTACTTACTTATCTTCTAACTCATTGATTTCATTCTCAGCTTTATTCACTCCACTGTTGTTTCTGTTTCACACAAAAAATCTCCTGCAGGACGGACACCTCTGCCAGATTCCCCACCAGAGAAAACTGTTTCTAGCATCCAGCTGCTTTTGGCATTCCCAGAAACAGCCTCACTGCCCTCCTTCATCCATATCAGGAGCAGCCATGTGACGTCACCTCTTCTGTAACCTATTATCTTTTGTGTCCCCAGCCATTAGAGTGTAGACAGCTTTCTGTAGTTATTATTCTGGGTTATATCAGTATTTCCTCTTTTTCTATTTCACTCTTCATATATGTGTGTGGATAATTCCCTGTATTAAATTCTACCTCATAGTGATGCGTAAGTTTCTCTTTTCCTCAGTAAACCCTAACTTACCAGGAGGTTACTTTGATGCTTATTCAACCTCAGATCAAAAGCATTATTTCTAATGCCAAACTCTATCATAGTTATACAGTACCTTACATTTTATATTTTAAAATGGTAAATTAAAAAAATAAAATCACAATTTTATAATACATATTACTTTTAAAAATAGAACTAACTTTAAAATTTTTTAAGTCACAGATCATGCAAAAACAAATGTTAACATTTTGATATAGTTATATCTTTTCTCTCCTTCACTCAGAGACTGCTTTTGTTTCTCAAATTTGTGATCAAACTATGTATCCATTTTATACTCTTTTTATCCTTAAGGTATGCCTTTAATGTTTTTTTCAACTTCTACCTGCAAAAGATGAGATTTTAAAAGTCTCCTTCACTTTGATATATATAAACAAAAAGACATTTATCACTAATTCCTATCCTATCAAGGACTGCTCTCAAAATAGTACATCATTTTAAATATATGACATGCATAATTGTTTTTATAAAATTCACAACTCAGGTTACTTTTCTAGTATACAGGAAAATAAATTATGTCCTTAAAATTATATATGGTGAATTAACAAGTGTATTTTTGTCAGGGAAACAAGTTAATAGTATATTTATACAATGAACAGAAAACAAAAAAGCCCTCTTCTGTATTCAGCAAAAACTTCAAATAAGTTTAGTAAGGCCAACTACTCACCCCCTATTGCTGACAATTGCCTTTTTCAAGTGAATGTAATTTGCAGGAAAGATCCCCTGTAAAAGATAAAAGATTTTCTATAAGAAAAGGTGATCTGGGATTAACATCTCGTACATACTAAAATAGCAATCAGATTTCAGCATGGAAATACTCCATCAACAACAGAGCAGATCTCCTGATGTAGCAACCACTTTGCTAATTAAGAAAGCAGTTTCACAACTTCTATTAAATAGGAATTTCACTAGTACTTGCAATCAGAGTCGACCCTCAGGAAAAACTGTGATCTTTCTTAACTATGAACAGTATTTTTTAAGTTACAGATTAAAAATGTTCCATCAAATCACTCTCAGGATATAGACTTATGTACAGAGCTTGGTATGTACCTACAAAACCAATGACACTGTCTAACCAACAACTTACAGATTATTCACCTCAGCACTAGAGAAACAATTCTCAGACTCTGGCTAACATTTGTATTCACAAGAGTTCATCAATTTGGAAGCCTCAAACTACTCCTTTTATTCTTTCCAAATCATTTCCATGTTGGTATCTGCCATAATATAATTTCAATTCCTAAGAAATAAAAAATGTATTTTCTTTAAAAAAAATAAAGTTTTCTAATCAATGTTTCATCCTTTTCCTGATATATGAAACTCTTTTCATATAAAATGCAAATGACCTAATTTTTTTAATACACTTTAGCCCACACCACTAACAACAACAAACTCAATCTATACCACACAAGGCCATTAGCTGCTAAACAATAATGCATTTTATAGTTTTCAGTGTACAGATCTTCCTCCTTGGATAAATTTATTCATCAATATCTTACTTGTTTTATGCTAGTGTTAATTAGATTGTACTATTTCCTTTTAAAACACTTCACTGTTAGTATACAGAAACACAACTAAATTCGGTGTGTAAATTATATGTCCTGCAGTTTTACTGAATTTGTTAGTTAGTTCTAACAGTTCTTTGGTAGAATCTTAAGATTTTATACAAATAATACCATACCATCTGCAAACAAGTAAAATTTTACTTCTTCCTTCCTGACTCGAATGCTTTTTGATTCCCTTCTTCCCAGCTAGGACTTCCCAGTGCTGGGACGGACACAAGTGGTGAGAACGGGCACCCTGTGTGATGTCGGCTGTGGGCTTGTCACAATCCAGTCTTCATTGGGTTGAGGTATGTTCCTTCCACACCAAATTTGTTAGGTTTTATTTATGAAAGGGTGTTGTATTTTGTCCAATGCTTTTTCTGAATCTATTCAGATGATCATGTAGATTTTTATTTTTCAGTATATTAATCCAATGTGTCATATTTACTTATTTGCCAATGTTGAATCATCCTTGCATCCCTTGGATAAATCCCACTTGATCACGGTGTATAATCCTTTTAAAGTGCGGTTAAATTTGAATTGCTAGTATTTTCTTAACAATTTGTGCATCTAGGCCCTGGCTGGTGTAGCTCAGTGGATTGAGCGCGGGCCTGCGAACCAGACAATCGCGGTTCGATTCCCAGTCAGGGCACATACCAGGGTTGCAAGCTGGTTCCCTGCAGGCCAGTCCCCAGCAGGAGATGCATGAAAGGCAACCATACATTGATGTTTCTCTCCCTCTCTCCTTCCCTTCCCCTCTAAAGATAAATAAAATCTTTAAAAAAAAAAAGAATTTGTGCACCTATATTTATCAGAAATATTTGGTCTATACTTTTATTTTCCTGCAGTGTCCTTACCTGACTTTGGTATCAGTAATACTGACCTTATGAAATGAGTTGGGGAGTACTCCCTTCTCTTCAACTTTTTGGAAGAGTTTGAGAAGAATCAGTGTCAATTCTTTAAAGTTTGGTAGAATTAACCAATGATGTCAACTGGTCCTAAACTTTTACCTGTGGGAGGTTTTTGATCACTGATGCAATCTCCTTACTCATTATTAACTATTTGTATTTTCTACTGCTTCCTGATTCATTCTTGGTAGGTTGCATGTTTCCACATATATACCCATTTCTCTACATTATCCAATTTGTTGACATATAATTGTTCATGTAGTTTCTTACGATCCTATGTAGTTCCATAGTATCAATTTTCACATCTTCTCTTTCATTTCTCATTTTGAGTATTTTATTTCCTTTGTCTAAAGGTTTCTCGATTTTGCCTGTCTTTTAAAACAACCAGCTCTTCATTTCATTAATCTTTTCTATTGCTTTATGGTCTCCATTTCATTTATTTCCACTCTGACCTTTGTACTTTCCTTCCTTTTGCTAAATATAGGCATAGTTTGTGGTTCCTTGAGTAGTTAATTAGATATCTTTCTTTTAAATTATATTTTATTAGTTATGCTATTATACTTGTCCTGATTTTCCCCCTTCACTCCCTCCACCCAGTGCCTGCTACTCCCTCAGGCAATCCCCCCACCATTGTTCTTGTCCATGGGTCATGCATATAAATTCTTTAGCTACTCCATTTCCCATTCTGTAACTACCTATTTGCACTTCTTAATCCCCTTACCTCTTCATCCATTCTCCTTCTTCCCACTCCCATCTGGCATCATCCGGAAACTAACTTCTTTTACTTTAAAGAGTCTCTCTTTCCCTATAACCTTTGGTCTTTTAATAATGATGTGTCTTGGAGTCGGCCTCCTTGCATCCATCTTGTTTGGGACTCTCTGTGCTTCCTGGACCTGCATGTCTATTTCCTTCACCACACTAGAGAAGTTTTCTTTCACTATATTTTCAGATAGATTTCTAACTTCTTGTTCTTTCTCTTCTCTCTCTAGCACCCCTATGATGTAGAAGTTGGAATGCTTAAAGTTGTCCCACAGGCTTCATCCATTCTACCATTGTTTCCCTGTAAACTGTTCTTTATTTCAATTAGTGTATCCTTTGTTTTTGGCTGGATCTTTTTTAAAAAATATTTTATTTATTTTTAGAGAGAGGAGAAGGGAAGGAGACAGGGAGAGAAACATCAATGTGTGGTTGCACTCCATTCTGGGGACCTGGCCTGCAACCAAAGCATGTGCCCTGACTGGGAATCGAACCAGCAATGCTTTGGTTGGCAGGCCCACACTCAATCCACTGAGCAACACCAGCCAGGGCTGGCTGGATCTTTTTTATGTTACTGAGGTCCTAAGTTCCTCAAACATTCTTAAAATCAGTGTTTTAAACTCTGCATCTCATAGATTGCTTATCTCCATTTTGTTGAGTTCTTTTTCTGGAGTTTTGATCTGTTCATTCATTTGGGCCATGTTTCTTTGTCTCCTAGTTTTGGCAGCCTCCCTGTGATTGTTTCTATGCATTACTTAGAGCTCCTTTGACTCTGTGTCTTGGTAGTGTGACCTAATATAGTAGGTATCCTGTAGGGTCCAGAGGCACAGCCTCCCCTATCCCTCAAGCTGGGTACTTGAGGTGCACCCTTTGTGTGGGCTGAGTACACTCTCCTCTTGTAGTTGAGTCTTAGTTGCTGTTGACAGATCAATGGGAGGAATTAACCCAGGCCCGTCAGCTACAAGGACTGACTGTGACCACTTCCCACCACCATTCACCCTCCGTGGAGGATCAGCTGTTGGGAGAGCAGGGTGGTGGTGCTCCTACGTGGTCTGTAACTGTCCACTAGGTACGCTGGCCCTGGGATTTCCTAGGTGGTACAGGGCAAGGTCAGCCCCCACCTGTGTTTGGCTCTGGGCCACCCTGCCTGAGCTATAAAGCAATCTGAGATGGCTGCTACTTGTCCTGGGCTTGGAAATTCCCAGGTGAAACTAAGCTGTGACTCTAACCTGACTGCCACTAGGGCTCAGTGAAGCCAAGTGTTGCTTATTTGACAGGATTTAAGAGCCAAGACCAGCCATTCTTATGAAAAACCATCTTGGGTGGGCCTATAAGTTGGGTGTGGTAGAGCCTCTATGGATCTCCAAGGCAGGTCACACTTTGTTAGCCAGGTTGATAGTATGTCAGATGTGGCACCAGCCTACTGACTCAGTGAGGGGAGGGCTCAGCAAAAGGACAATGGCCTCTGCTCACCATAATGCCAGACACTTCAGTCTCTCCCTATATACCACTGGTGCCCTTCAAGCTGCCACCCCAGTGCTGGGGCTCAGAGGGTGCGAGTCTGAGCAGGTGAGACTGTGTGTGGGTTCCCCAAGAGGAACTGCTTAGGGCTCCAATGGCCTCCTCCACCAACTCAATCCCTGCTGGTTCAGAAGGGATTAAGGGGACTTACCTTCCTGGCACTGGAATCCTGGGCTGAGGGAGCCTGGTGTCGTGATGGGACTCCTTGCTCCCAAGATATCCCTCCCAAATTTATATCCATGTGGGTGTGGGACCACCCCATTCAGCATCCCTACAGGTCTAGATGGATGTGGTTTCTTGAATTTCACAGTTGTCAGACTTTCATTCAACTCAATTTCTGACATTCCTGAGTGATGGTTGTTAGATATTCTAGTTGTAATTTTGATGTGGTTGTGCAAAGAGGCAAGCCATGTCTGCCCACATCACCATCTTGACCCCATTTTTCTTACTGTAAGCATTTATCATGATCAACTTCCCTTTTAAAATTGCTTTTTCAGCATTCCATGGGTTTCAGTGTGCTGTTTTCCTTTTCATTTGTGTCACAATTTTATTTCCCTCTTTCTTTGACTCACTGGTTGTTCAGGGATATGTTGTTTAATTTCCACATATTTGTGAATTTTCCAGTTTTTTTCTGTTACTGAATTCTAGTTTCATACCATTAGAAAAGATACATGGTATGATTCGTCTTCTTAAATTTGCCTTGTTATATAACCTATCATTATGATCTATTCTGAAGAATGTTCGTTTACAATTGAAAAGAATCTATATTCTGATGCTGATAGATGACATGTGCTATACAGATATATATACACATATCTAGTATATGTACGATATATATCGTACACCTATATAGTATATATAGTACACATATACTAGATATATGTGTATCTATATAATATGTATTATACAGTACATAAATAGTGTACATACGTATAGTATATATTTTTATGTGTATATGTGTGGGGGAATATATATATATATATATATATACACA